TTTCTAATTATGTATTATCGAGTTTATGTTAATTATTTATTAATTTATTATGGTCAACTAATGTCGTCGAACACTCGAACTCATCCCACATCCGATGATTCTTCTGTCAATCTCATGAACAAGATAAAAATTGAAACAAATTTAATAGCATCATTAAAACAACTTGCTGGTATATTATGTTATTCAATGGCACAGGCTTTGCCCGCACCAATTTAGGAACGTGGTCAAACCTAAGCACTTACATACAAATAGTTATGTCCATGGATTGAATTTTAATTCGAATTCAATTTGAAATCGAATTTAATTAATTATATATAAATTGATATTTTTTACCGATTATCCGATTCCAATATCTTATGTTTCATGGATTTATATTTTGATATACTCTATCCGTTTCGAATATGGTCTGATCTAAAATATTTATATATATTTTTTAATAAATATTATAAAAATTTAGTTAAATTAAATTATTCATATTAGAATAAATTTTGAATTATGATTAATTACATTGAAGGTTCCCAAAATATGAAATTTGTGTCATTTTAGTTCTCAATATTTCAATTACATCATTTTGATCCCTGAAATATTAAATATGTTTCTATACGGTCTCTCAAGAAGACATCGTTCAAATTGTTAACAATTTTTTATTATAAACTTGTCACGTGATACTTAAATATAGGTAAAAAAAAATTATTTTGATAACTCTTGACAAAATTTTCACCCAAATTATACAGTTTTAATTATAAGATATCCAAAATTTGGTTAAAAGGTACCCATATTACACATTTTAGTCAATAACAACCCAAATTTTAGTCAAGAGCTATTTAAATTTTTTATTGTACATATTTAGGTATTAATATTATGTGATAAGTTTATGATAAAAAATCGTTAGCAATTTAAATATTGTTTACTTGAAAAATTATATAAAAATATATTCAATATTGCAGTGATCAAAATTATGCAATTAAATTATTAAGGACCAAAATGAGACAAACTTCATATTTTGAGGACCTCCAGTGTAATTAACCGTTTGAATTATTAATGAATTAGATTGAATCGGACTTTCAAAATAGGATTCGGATCAATAAAAATCCGGTCCTAACTCGATCCACGCAAACGTACAAATACCACCGATTCTCTTTCTCTTCGTTTTCTAATATTCCCTTTTTCAATTCCTTTCTTTCCTGTCGGATTCCAAAGAAAAACAGGTACTTTCCATTTTCCTTTCAAACCATTAGCTTTTAATTCTACTGTTTGATTCGAATTCTGCTGTCTTCAAATTCTAATGTTTGAGTTTTTAGGAAACTGGGAGGTGTGTAATTAATTTTTCTGTTGATCTTGATTTTCTTCTATGATTTTCCTAAAGTTTTATAACAACCCAGCAGACATAGAATTGAGGATTTTCTGTCGTTTGGTATTTGCCAGTTTTAGAGGTAAAACACTGCCGGCGACCTGTTTGGTTACTTAGGAATAAAAGGAAAATAAATTACAGGAGAATTTTAGGGTTTTACATTAACGTGCACGTGATCTGTTTGGTTGCTGAGAAAATATAGGAAAGGTTCTTAATCTTCTATTGTTTGATCATAAACTTGTGGCAAATATTAGTATACCTATCTCTTTCTGCGGTAAAAATATTGGGGGTACCGCTTACACACTTAAGCAGACATAGTGTAACCGTTCAATAATTAAATAACACCTGGACAAGTGAATCCCACCCAATATTTTGTACTCTTTGTGAGTGTGCTCGGATCATAGGTTAAATGTTGTTATATAATTTTTTGTTAATCTGCTTTGGGTGTATATGGGTGGGTGGGTTTGGCGGGATCATAAGTTTGATTTTGCAATTTCAATTGTAAATTCAATTTTTGTGCCATTCAACCTATGAGGTCATGTTTCTGTATAACTTTCAATTCGATGTGTGAGAAAATTTTCTTCCTATGCTACCAAATGGGTATTGGTGGAATTTGAGTCTAACTTTTACTTCTTTTTTGTTATGACATTTGCGTTTTTCTGGATTTTGGTGGCAGGATATATAGAATTCTAGACATGTTAGAGCAGTTATTGATTTTTACTAGAGGAGGATTGATCCTCTGGACATGTAAAGTGCTTGGAAATGCTCTTAAAGGATCACCCATTGACACTTTGATCAGGTCCTGCCTCTTGGAGGAACGATCTGGTGCCGCATCATATAATTATGAGGCTCCTGGTGCTGCCTATACTCTCAAATGGACATTCCACAACGAACTTGGCCTTGTATTTGTTGCTTTGTATCAGCGGATTCTCCATCTTTTGTATATGGATGATTTGCTTGCTATGGTGAAGAAAGAGTTTTCCGAGATTTATGATCCGAAAAGGATGGTGTACAATGATTTTGATGATACATTTAGGCAGCTTAGGAAGGAAGCTGCGGCTCGTGCTGAGGAAATCAAAGCAGGTAGGTAAGCCCGTGAACAATTATTCAGGTAAGAAGCAAGGGCAGGTGCAGGGCCTTGAAGGAGGTAATCAAGAAAAGAGTGGTGGTGAATCAGGAAATGATTGTGGGGATGGTGATAGTTTAATGGGCAAATTGGAAAATGATCATTCCAATGGTAATCATGTTGGAAATGGGGAATTCCCAACATTAGGTAATGTGAATGGTAAAAAGAATAGGAGCTCCAATACTGGGGCTTTCAATGTAAATAAGCTACAGAAGCTTAGAGCAAAAGGTGTGAAGAAAACTGATACTGTTGTTAACAAGGATTCCAAGCAGGAACCAAAGAAAAAGATAACAAAGAAGAATAGAGTTTGGGATGATTTACCTCCAGAGTCAAAATTGGATTTTACAGATCTGTTGAGTGAGAATGGTGATGAGAATATAGCAGTTATGGCAGTGGATCGAGGGGAAAGTATGATGGACAGAGAGGAGATTCTCAGCAGTGAAAGTGAAAGTGAAGAGGATGAGGAAGCAGGGAAGGATCACAAGGTTGATGCAAAAAAGAAAGGGTGGTTTTCAACCATGTTCCAGAGGTAAATCTGTTTTCATCTTTTCTCGGTTACTGTCGATTCCATTTGAGGTCATCTACATTTTGTTTTACAGCAAAATGAATCAAGATTTAGAATAACGATATTTTCTATGTAGATTATACAAAATTCTTTCATGTGTATTTTTATACCACATAAGGCATCATCAGAATTTGCTGTATTGAAGTTATATATATGTGTGACTTGCTAATTGCATCTCTCTTTCACACACACACAGAGACACATGCGCACACACAGCGGGCGTGCAAATATACAAGTGCTGGTGTATACTCAGCTTAAATAGAAACAGGTTGCTTGTGTTGCTAGTTCTGGTTTTCCTCTATATCAATGACGAATATGATACTTTTGTATATTCTTTTAGGTAGGATTGTTGCAGGAAGGGCTTCTGTTGTAATAATTGTGACATTGAGAAATACAGTTAGGACACTTTGTTTTCTAACGTCTTTCTTGTTCAAGAGTGGGTGGGTTTGTGGGGTTGGATGTTAATGGTCTCATAAGACAGGAACATCCACACTTACATGTGTGTGTATCTTTTTGATATTATTTGTTCTTTCAATTATGGTGTCTAAAGTGATCTACATTTACATAATGTTCTGTGAATGTTAACTTGGGGGAAGTTCACAAAGAAAACATGTTTGCTGTATGCATGAAATCATTCTTTGGGGAGCTTTTATCCACTTATAGGAGACAGCTTCATTTACATTATAGATGATCTTTGTGTTCGGACCCTATCATTTCAGAATCGTGTCAAGAACCCCTCAACACGAGCACGATCCATTTAATTAAACCTGTCAAGCTTCTCAATTCTAATACCAGACCGAAGGAATTGGGAAACGGAACTAAATATTAAAGGAAAAAAGTTGTGATAGGGATTTGTTGCTACCTTTGGATCAAGGAATTGCTTCATACTTCTACTCAAGTCATAATGGCTTTATTGTTACAAGTGTGTTGCATTTCCATCTCCATGTCATTAGGCTGATAGATACTTACATCACTTGCTCTTTTCCTCCCAGTATTGCTGGGAAAGCAAATCTGGAGAAGGCGGACCTTGAACCAGCTTTGAAAGCTCTCAAGGATAGGCTTATGACTAAGAATGTGGTATGTGTACTTTGCTCTGGCTCTTTCTGTTTCTCATATTTTTTCCTACTTCCTGCATAGTATTTTTAGCAATGTAGAAATCTGTTCATTGTGATTTTTGGCGCCCACAGGCCGAGGAAATAGCTGGAAAATTGTGTCAATCAGTAGCAGCAAGTCTTGAGGGTAAAAAGCTTGCCTCCTTTACCAGGATATCTACAACAGTTCAGGTATCTGGGCTTGAATTTGTCCCCCTGATCGCCTAATTTCCCTTTATTTTTTTACATTTTTAATGTTTACCAGCAGATTTATATTATGATTGAAATGATGACTCCAGGCAGCAATGGAAGAGGCTCTTGTTCGCATCTTGACTCCCAGACGCTCCATCGACATTCTGAGGGATGTTCATGCTGCCAAGGAACAACAGAAACCATATGTTGTGGTTTTTGTTGGAGTTAATGGAGTAGGAAAATCGACGAATCTTGCTAAGGTAATGCTCACCTAGTATCTATTCATTTCATAGAATTTATTGCTTGGTTTATTTTGTCATCTGACAAGCATTTCTTAAATGCCACTCCGCAGGTTGCTTATTGGCTGCTGCAGCATAAGATCAATGTCATGATGGCTGCATGTGATACATACCGTTCAGGAGCTGTTGAGCAATTGCGTACTCATGCACGTAGACTTCGGGCATGATTATAATTACACCACATTATGTCCTTGGGTCTTGGGTCTCTTCATGTTCAAGCGTTGTTTCCCAAGTAGGATATTGTGCACAGACGTATAATCAATGACTGGTTGTTGACTCATGGCTAACTGCCTTTTTCAGATCCCTATTTATGAGAAGGGCTATGAGAAAGATCCTGCAATTGTAGCAAAGGAATCCATTCAAGAGGCCTCTCGAAATGGTTCTTGTCGATACAGCTGGTCGAATGCAGGTAAATTTTATGTTGTTACAAAGGTGTTATGGTTCCCACTGCTGATCTGATTATTTGTGGGCATCAAATTCAGACATCATGTGGATGGATTCGTAGGACCAAAATCCATTTCCAGTGTTCCCACTTGAAACAGATATAATGCAAACTATCAGTTCCCTTGTATATTTCCGTTTATCACCGTTGCTTTGTTAAGATTTATATGTCATTGCACAGGATAATGAGCCACTAATGAGAGCATTGTCAAGGCTTATCTATGTCAATAATCCAGATCTGGTCCTGTTTGTGGGCGAGGCACTGGTTGGGAATGATGCTGTTGATCAGCTATCAAAGTTCAATCAGGTTCAGTCCCTATGTTTCTGTCACATTTTCTATTCTTGTATAGATTTTCGTTATGTTCTAATTACTCGCATGTCATTGAGCAATGTATCCTGGTTCTTTCAGAAATTAGCCGATCTTTCACCCTCCCCTAACCCCAGCTTGATGGATGGAATTCTGCTCACGAAGTTTGATACCATTGATGATAAGGTACACAATCTTGTCAACCGGAAGATCTTGAATATGTAAAAACGTTTTTAGATTGTTTTGAATTTGATTTGCATTTTTGTGTGCATCCGGTATCACTGCTATTGGTCGATGATGTAGGTTGGAGCAGCCCTGTCGATGGTTTACATATCTGGGGCTCCTGTGATGTTCATTGGATGTGGTCAGTCTTATACAGATTTGAAGAAGCTGAATGTGAAGGCCATTGTCAAGATCCTCCTGAAATAAGAAGATATGCTGGTCTCACACCATTTGTTACTTTTGCTTCCTATCCTTCAGTGTGTTATGCACCTCTGTATCCATGCTACCTCTTCTGTACTTTCTCCCTTTGATCTCATGGAGGTGAATTAGTTCCTTGCGGCTGTAATTTATATATTGATTTATTTTTGTGTTCACAGCAAACCTTCACAGACACATGGGACCTAGGATTCCACCCGGCCAAGTCACCTCAATTATACAAGCTTTAACCAGTGCATAACAGACCATCCACTGGATTTGGATTTCATCTCTTCCAATACACTTTGTCCATTTTTGGTAGATTAAGCAATTACGAACTCAAATGGGATCCACTTTATAAGTGGGTTTGTGAGAGAGAGAGAAAGATATTTATCAATCTACGGCACTTTTAGAACAAAATTTTCGAACTATGACAGTTTTTGAATTTATTTATTAAACTAAAGTACTTTTTAAAGCGGTGCCAACAACTCTGTTTTTATTAAAAAGTGAGATTAACAATCTTGTTTTTAGGAGGGATTTTTTTGGGCTTGATACCCTTTTATTGCGTCTGATGAATAGTTTTCTCCCTTTGACCGCCCAAAAATTAAATGACTTTTTGTAATAAAGTGGGGTTGACTATCCTATTTTTTAAAAGTTGTCATAATTTAATAAATAAATTTAGAGCTATTGTAATTTGGTAACTTTATTTCGAATAAAAAATTAGCATTTAACACATTTGAGTCTTAAGCGATTAAACTTATCAAATTTTTATGTTTAAATAATATTTATTTTTGTAATAAATCCCACAGCATGACCACGGTGTGTGGACAGTAACCAAAGCAAAATACAAACCATTGCTTCTTCCATAGACCATAGCATGTCTTCTTAACATTTCCTCCCAAGAGAATAGGAACATGAAGCACCCACCATTGCCCCATGTTGGAGCTAAACTTGGATCACCAAATGAACCCGAAGAAAGTGGGCTAATCTCATGAAGTATCAGTATAATAGCCGACATATTCCATTGCTCTCAAAGACAAAGTCAATCTAGCTATATCGGTCAATCACTCCTCTGGCCAATGATAGTATGCCACGTGTCACTCCCTCCCTCATCACTCTCTATTTCATCTAACCCACCTTTACTTTCTCTCCCGTTCTTTTGTTCAAACCTTCTCATGCCCATGTACCTATAGACTTACAATTGTAGAGAGAGGAAAAAAGAGTGAAGTAACAGAGAAAAATGGTAGGGTCTGGAAATGTGAAGGCAGCCGGAGTTCAGGCGGAGCCTAAGATACCATCTCCGGGGGAGGTTCCGCCGGAGGTGCTCCACCAGCGGAAGAAACTACCAATCTGTCCCGTGAGAATGGCTGTCGGCGGATTCGCCATCGTGGGTCTCCTCGGTTATCTCACCTTGTACTCCAAGAAAAAGCCTGAAGCTACTGCCATAGAAGTCGCCAAAGTCGCTACCGGAAATGCCAGTCCCGAGAACACCCATCCTCGCAACTGAACTAGCTAGATAAAGATTCATGGTGGTGGGAGTACGTGGGACTCTATGCCTCATAGGGCTTTTATTCAACATTTTTATGAGTTGCCTACATTTACATTGGATTAGTTTCAAGTTTCTGTGGTTATTCTTTCATTTTTTTGGCATCTGAATTATGTTATATGGAATAAGTGTGAACACGTATATAGAATTTCTTTCTTTCTTTAATATTTTTGCTAGAGAAAAGGGTGGTTCACATACACGAGATGTAGTGATTCTCGCGACGTTATTTTGAGGTTTTCAATTACTATAAAATATTTGGTTTGAGTAATAGTTATTATGTTGAATTGGTTAAGTTTGTCACTATAGCACCATCGATAACAAATTAGACATTCAATCATTCCATTAATATGTTGTTTATAGGAACTACTGCAAGCGAATTCGAAATCGTGACCACTAAATAAGGACGAGACTTTCACCTTTTATTGAAAGTCAACTAGACTATCACCTCGATAGTTTTTTTTGTACATTCCCTTAGAATCTAGATTAATTATGCTACTTGGACCTAATTAATTTGTTGATTTAATCACTCACAATAATTATATTAACAATGGGTTTCGCATTTGCTAGAATCTGCTATCAATTCAATAATTAAAATAGATTAAATCAGGAAATTATATTAATAAATTCTATCAAAATAATATTATTGTAAAATCTACCCTCATGCAAGTGTAGGGATTGGGCTTAATCTTGCTAAATTTATGAGTAAGTAATTTTTCTAATTTTCTTCGATGGGAAATCACCAAGTGTATATTAGGTCAAAGACTCACTTTTATATATATATATATGCAACGCTCGTGGAGAGAATGTCAATATCTGATTTATTTTATTCCCAAGTCCATTAGGAAGCTACTTTATTTTATTTTTAAGTTTAATTACAATTCTATTATTTCTTAATTTAATTGTATTTCTAGTTTATTTCCTAGTTTAATGAGTTTTACCTTGTTTTTTTTTTTTTTTATTATTCTTAGTTTATTTCCATGCGAGAAAATCAACGAGGCACGGCAAGTTTGTGTGATTCGGTCAGCCTAAAATTTTTCTTCTTGTGTATATCCTTCGTCCAGGTCCTACGTCCTACTTAAATAAATATTCGCAATTTACCATTAAATAAAAATGTATTGGCAGAGATGATTCTGAAAGAAGGGGAAAAAAAGTTTTATGTATGTATGTAGGGGTGTCCACGGATCGGATTGTCCACCGGTCTTGTTACTCGGTCCGAAAAAATAGGTTCGAAACCTGATAAGTCCGATAATTGGTCTACCTGAACCCGAACTCAATATCTTTCAAGAGAGGGCTTGAACTTACCCCCAAACCCATTACCCAACCAAAAATTCAGCCCAATAGTCCGTCCACAAAAACCTATTAAAACGTGGTCCATGAGCTTGCCCGTCCAGTCCAGTCCATTCAAAATATAAAAATAAGTCCCTCAATATTAAAATTTGAAGTTTTAAAAATTTAATATTATAAATAATGTATTTTTTTATTTTTTATGTATTAAACATACACGTTTTAAAGGATATAGTTATGTAAATAATAGATAAATAGATAGTTGGAATGTGCTCATTCTATTGTGATGCAGTTCATCCCCTATTTATAAATAAAATTATTCATTATTTATTTTTTGCCTATTTTAACTCTACTTTTAATTTTAAAATATAATTTACAAAAATATTAAGTTTTAAAAATATTTATTATTTTTAAATAAAATTATATATAAAAAGTCTGTACAATAGGCATGCCCGCAAGCTCTCCCAACATACTCATAGGCTCGCACCAACAGGTCTGCCCAGTGAGGGGCAAGTTGGTCTACATGTGGCCTACCCTTAATCAAACTGGTGCGACTTGCGCCAATAATTCACCGGATAAAAGCTTGGGCCTATCCTACACAGATTTAACCAAAAAAGAATTTTACGGGTTGACCCATGGACACCACTACATGTATGTTTTTAATCTTTATAGAAAATTAAGGTAATGTTTGGTAATAAGTTGTTTTTGTTTTTATTTTTATTTTATGGCAAAAAAAATAAAAATAAAAAAGCGTTTGGGGTTTTTTTTGTTTTTTTTTTTGCTATTTCGTTTTGAAAACAAGGTCAAAATATAGAAACATACAAAATGATGTTTTTGAAAACATCCAATAAACAAAACAGGCGGAAGTTAGGAACACAATTTAATGAGATCCAACCTTCAAGTCATGTCAACAGCAAACAAATAATTTTTTTACTTGAGGATGAAAGCCCTTAATTTCTCATTTTTCTTTGCCCTTTTCTCGTCTCTATGCCTCTCCAACTCTCGCCTCTCGCCTCTCTCTCTTGTAATTGTTGTTGTGATTTTAGATAGTTGTTGGTGGTGGTTTTCAGTAGGGATGGCGAGGGTTTTTCAAGGAGTTTGGGGGTGGGTTTCAAGGGGTTGGGAGTGGGTTTTCAAGGGGTGTTGAGTGGGTTTCAGAGGAATGTTGGGAGTGGATTTTCAGGGGTTGAGAGTGGGTTTCAGGGGTGGGTGATGGGTTTCAGGTGTGGCATGGGTTTTCAGGGGTGTTTGGAGGGGGGGGGGGGGTTCGGTGCGGTGTGGGGGTTTCAAGGAATGTTGAGGGTGGGTTTTCGGTGGGGTTTGGGGGTGGGGTTTTCGGTGGTGTTGGTTTATTGTTGGTGGGGGTGGGTTTTTGGTATGTTAGGTGGTGGATTGCAAGGGGTTTGGGGGTGGGTTTATGATGGGGTTAGGCGGTTGGTGGTGGTGGGTTTAAGTGGTGTTAGGTGGTAGATTTTGGGTAAAATACAAAACATATTTTTTATTTTTGTTTTCATAATTTTTTTATATATAAATGACCATTAAATATGTTTTATATTTTTTAATTTTTATCCCAGAAAAATAAAAACTAGTTTTATTTTTTTTTATAAAAAAATAACATAAAAACAAAAACGTTGTCAAACGCATCCTAAAACTTTTACTTTAAACCTTGGGGTTCTCATACCTCTTTCGTTTTTTGGGTAAATAACCGGTTGATGTTTTGATGATCTCATTGAATTAATGTTTATTAAATATTTAATGAAAAGTTATTTCATTTTACTCCCCAACAATGTAATCTATTTCACTTTACTCCGATACGTCAACAATTTCTATCTAACAACATAACAGATGTTTACAATTGGGACAATGTGAAATAATCAAAGTAGTTGAGTGGGCAATGTGAAAATTCAATAGATGATGGAGAAAAGTGAAATGAGTCATAATTGAGGAGGTCAAAATATAATTTACCCTCACTAAATCCCCTATTGTGATCAGATTAATACGTAATGATGTCCAAATTTGCACCCATTAATAATTCGATGATAGCAGAAGTCCAACACAGCTTGTCAAGGATCTACAATGTATTGGCAGGCATCAAGATCTTCCTTCTTGGTCTTATTAATACTATGGTAAAATAACAATGTACTGACATCAAGTCCTTGCAACCCCCCCCCCCCCCCCCCCC